GCATATAAAAGAATAAAACCTTTAAAAAAAAATTTGTTTTAATCCTTATTTGTTTTGAGAGAGAGAACAAGAGACAGAGTGCGAGCATGGGAGGAACAGAGAGAGAGGGAGACACAGAATCGGAAGCAGGCTCCAGGCTCTGAGCTGTCAGCCCACGGCCCGATGCAGGGCTCGAACTCACGGACTAGGAGATCATGGCCTGAGCCAAAGTCGGATGCTTAACTGACTGAACCACCCAAGCACCCCTTTTATTTACATTTGTTTTAATAAAAATAACATATAGATCTTTAAATGTCCAAATAAATTTTTAAAAAATCTCTTTCAGTAAATATATACTAACTCCAAGTGGATTAGAAAGCATTTTTTTATTTTTTTAATGTTTACTATTTTTGAGAGAGAGAGAGACAGAGTGCAAGCAGGGGAAGGGCAGAGAGAGAAGGAGACACAGAATCCGAAGCAGGCTCCAGGCTCCGAGCTGTCAGCACAGAGCCCGACACGGGGCTTGAACTCACCAACCGCAAGTCCATGACCTGAGCCAAAGTTAAGACACTCAACTGACTGAGCCACCCAGGTGCCTCAAAGAATAAAAGGATGTAAATGAACTGAAGCAAATTTTTTAAAAATCTGGCCAGAAAAAAACAGCACTGGGTTCATTAAATCTGCATCAGCTCTCTCTGCGTTTTCACATTTACTTCATACCAGCCTCAGCTACTTCTATTCCTGTATCACTGTATCTAGTGATAAAAACAGGACTTTTTTTCTGATTTTCACAACTCAATTTAAAGATGTCTTTCAAGCTTTACTCCCAAACCTTCTTTTCTAGTTGTTTCTTCTTTCTGTCAGTGGCACGGCCACGTTTCGTCACCTCCATTCAGACCCTAACGAACTCTTGTACGGAGTACAGAAAAAACTCCTATCTGGTCTTCCCCTCTTGAGTCTCTTCCACCTTCAATCTACGGTAAGCACTACTGCTAGATTAATCTTTCTCAAGCGTACCTTCTATCCTGTCTCTCCCCCATCCAGGGCCTTCCTTCAAGGAGCGTCAATGGCTTCTTCTGGTGCCAGAGAAGTCAAAATCCCTCACTCGGCCATTTAAAACCCTTTAGAATACCTTCCGTAGCACAACTCTAATCCCGAGGTCTGGATCATCAGCACCCTGTTCCGATGGGGTCTCAGACTCTTGGTGGGGTGAAACAACTTGTCATTTCCCTAAAATTGCTAAAGCTTACATAATAAGAGTGGGTAGAAGAAAGTTACGCTGAGTAAATTCTCTGAGCAGAGTGGAGTAATGCTTCTGGCTATGCTACCTTTTCATTGGAAGGGAGGATGGTAAAAACTGGTTTGGAAATCTACTTGACCAGATGAGCCTTCCAGATATTTTTGATCTCTTAGTGATCATTCCTATAATTAACTGAACTTAACAACAATTGCATAGATATGATGCAAAACTATTTTCCATAAATGAAATAGATTAAAAATACTATAACCTGGCATTTTATTTTTTTTTAACATTTATTTATTTTTGAGAGAGAGACACAGAGCACGAGTTGGGGAGGGGCAGAGAGAGAGGGAGACACAGAATCCAAAGCAGGTTCCAGGCTCCGAGCTGTCAGCACAGGGCCTGACGCAAGGCTTGAACTCACTAACTGTGAGATCACGACCTGAGCGAAGTCAGACGCTTAACTGACTGAGCCACCCAGACATACCTATCAACTGGCATTTAAAAAATTTGTTAAATATGATACACGTTTGATGCCCATTTTGCAACAAGTCAAAAATAGATTTCTGATATAGTGTTTTTTGTTCTTTACTCAAAGCCGCAAGACAGATTTTTGGGGGGTGTATAAAGCATCCATTACTTACACCTCATATTCTAAAATCTATACTCAGTCTCCATTACTTATACCTCATACTCTAAAATCTATACTCAGTCTGTACATAGTGTGCTATTTGTACCACATAAAGAATACAAAGAAACAAGGCTATTCCCTCTCGTAAGAAATTTAAAATCAGAATACAGCACAATGAATATTATAATTTTTTAAAATCCAGAGTAACTGGTAAATGTAGAATGAGTTGTTGAAAAATATAAAGTAATACATTTTAAATTTTAATCTCAAGTCCAAAGGATGAAAAAATTTAAATTTATTGAAGTTTAGTTGTAACCCAGGGCATGCTTCTATTTATAAGCTAAACTAGCTTACAAATGTCTACAACTCACAATGCAGCAGAAAAATCATTACAAATCTGCAATGGAGAAAACCAGAATAAAGCAATACTGCTAAGACACAAATAAATAAAATCAAGACAATTAGACCAAGTCAGAGTTTATCATTTATTTTCAATGTTGGTGTTTGATAGTATAATACAGTTTCTCATTCTGCTCCTCAGTTTAGGAAGCTACCAAGATAGGGAAGGGATTAAAAAAATGAATACGGCTGTGCTAAACAAGATAAGAGATACCAAAGCTCACGGAGAAAGGAAATCTTTCATGCAGTGCGGTGAATAAAGGGAAGGGGAAAGAACTGTTAGCCAATAGGAGAGAAATTCAATGGAAAGAGAGATTCTCCAGAGTGAATCTGAGTCAAATCCAAACTGTAAAGAGCGGGGAACTGTGACTGATAACGACTCCCCATTCCTGGACAAATGTAAGAGTTCACTATCACTACCAAAGCCGGGTATAGAGTCATATACTCACACTCAATGCTTTGTTTCCAGTGAATCATACACAGTAGAGAGAAAACAGTACCGTGATGGACATTATTGTCAGAAGACCTTGAATCTAGTCGAAGCTCTGCCACTTATTACTGTTGCTTTGAACAAGAAATTTAGCCTTTCTGGCACTAATTTCACCACTGTAAGGCAAAATATTGAACTTGATACTTACAAGATACTTTCAGTTTTTAAATTATCCCATTGAGGATTAAGAGCATTTTAATGATCTGCTGGTGAAAAAATAAAAACTCGGGTGCCTGGGTGGCTCAGCTGGTCGAGTGTCTGGCTCTTCGTTTTGGCTCAGGTCATGATTTCACGCTTGTGAAATCGAGCCCCGCATCAGGCTCTGCACTGAGTGTGGAGCCTGCTTTGGATTCTCTCCTCTCTCTTTGCCCCTTCCCCACTCGTGTTTGTTCTCTCTCTCTCTCTCTCAATAAATATGTATAAAAAATAACAAAAAATAAAAACTCTCTGTGCCTATCTAATTTATACACATACGTACATATGCATACATACATACATTCCTCCCCCCACGTTATTTTGGGGAATTGGGTTTCTTAAATACTGATGTATAATAAGCATATCAGTTATCTGTACACAAAAGGGGAGGTATCTGAGGTGCTAACGTGGGTTTACTTTCTTGCCATTTTACTATCCCCTCCTCTTTATTTATAGTGCTAATTACTATGCAATTATTATGTATCTTTTATCTTAAAAAGTATATATGTATATCTGTGTATATATCTATCTGTTTGCCTGCCTGGTGTCTTGGTCCAAATTATTCACTAATATCATTTATAAAATACAGAGTCTCAAATAATGATGAATCATTATAGGGACAAATAACGTTTAAAATGGAAGTTTCAGGTATTCTCTAACTAAATACAAAATCACTGAGAAATCATCTCAGTCATACGCTTCTGAAAACTCGGAACGTGCTCATCTGTTGATCACCTCCCGTACAAGAAG